GCTGAGGAAGATTTACCCTGAGCTAACATCTGTCCCAGTCTTCCTCTATTTTGTATGTGGGTCACTGCCACAGCATGGCCGCCACTGAGTGGTATAGGTCCGCCCCTGGAACCAAACATGAGCCGCCGAAGCACAGCACTCCAAACTTAACCACTAGGCCACGGGGCCAGCCCTAGCAACTTCATTTTTTTATTCAACAATATATCATGGATGTACTTCAGTGTTATTATGGAGAACCCTACTGCTAACCCAGTCTTTTTAACCTCTGCATAGAATTATAGACTTTGAATATCTGTAATTTATTGAGCCATCTCCTTACTAGTTGCTACCTGTCTCCAGTTTTTGGGTTTTTTTTTTGTTATGAAGCTTAGCCCTGAGTTAACAACCATTGCCAATCCTCCTCCTTTTGCTGACATAGATTGGCCCTGGGCTAACATCCATGCCCATCTTCCTCTACTTTATATGGGATACTGCCACAGCGTGGCTTGACAAGCAGTGCGTTGGTCCGTGCCCAGGATCTGAACCCGCGAAGCCCAGGCTGCCGAAGCAGAGTACACAAACTTAACTGCTACGCCACCAGGCTGGCCCCTCCAGTTTTTTGTTATTGAAAATTATGCCACATTGGGCTTGTGTGAAAATGTCTATAAGATAAATTTCTTGAAAGTAAATTAAATGCTTGTTCTAGTTCTCTTCTATAGATCTTACCTGGCAAAGTCCCTTTATAAAGATTTTGGCATCCTTTCTTTCTTTCTGTCTCTCATATTCTTCTGCCACTTTGCTTCCATTTTCTCTCACTGCCCCACTGGAACTTAAATTATGGAATTGAGGTTGAGGCTTAGACCTGGCATAACAAGGAGAAATGATTAATACTAATTCATGCTTTAGATTCAAAGAGCTTTTTTTGAAAGTCAGGTTTATTGAGGTGTAATTAACCTACAGTAGGGTTTACCCGTTTTTAGCATACAGTTTGAATTTTGGCAATTCATACGGTCATGTAACCACTACCACAGTCAAGTAAGAGTGTGTTTCCATCACCCCAAAAGAAGTTTCCTCTCCCACCTCCTTGCAGTCAGTCCCCTCTCCCCACGCCCCAGCCCCTCGCAACACTCATGTGATTTCTATCCTTAGAGTTTTACCTTTTCCAGAATGTCATATAAATGGGATCACACAGTATATATCCTTTCGTGTCTGCCTTTTTAAACTTAGTGTAATGCTTTCGAAATTCATCCATGTTACATGTTATAAATAGTTGATTCCTGTTTATTGCTGAGTACTGTTCCATTTCATGGGTGTACCACAGTTTGTTTTTCCACTTACCAATTGATGGATATTTGGATTATTTCTATTTTTTGGCTATTGCAAATAAAGCTGCTATAAACATTCACATATGGATCTTTTTATAGACACATGTTTTCATTTATCTTGGGTAAAGACCCAGGAGTGGGATTCTTAGGATGTATGGTTGAGATATGTTTAGCTTTTTAAGAAACTGCCAAGCTTTTCCTCAGTGGCTGCACCGTTTGGCATTCTCACCTACAACACATTGTTTTAGTTGCTCCACATTTTCACCAGCACCTGGTATTGTCAGTCTTTTTCATTTAGGCATTCTAGTAGGTGTACAGTAGTATTTCATTGTGGTTTTGATGTCTCTTTTCCTAATGATTGGTGTTGAACATCTTTTCCTTATTTGCCATCCTTATGTCCTCTTTATTGAAATATCTATCCAAATCTCTTGCCCATGTTTTCTTTTGTTGTTCTAGTCTTATTATGGAGTTGAAAGACTTCTGTGTATGTGTGGATACAGGTACTTTATTGGACTGTTTTGCAAATATATTTTCCCCGTCTGTGGCTTGTCTTTTTACTTTCGTAGCAGTGTCTTTTGAAGAGCAGGTTTTAATTTTGATGTAATCTAATTTATCAGTTTTTTCTTTAATGGTTCATGCTTTTGTGTCCTATCTGAGAAACCTTTGCTATCAGAAATATGGTAAGGAAGCCAACTTCCTTGAGGTACCTATATATTCAGCCCGATCTTCTTGTAGGCTAGTTTGCTACAGTTCATGATGTAAAATTGTCACCTTGAGTCA